AGAAACTTCAGCCCAGTTAAATTTGTAACATACAAAGATTTGAATGTCCTTATATGCAAGAAGTTTTGATGTGATGATTTTTTGCAAGCAATGCCCTTTTTTTGAATTATACTGTGTATTTAAAATGCACTGTGCCATTCATTACGTGTTGCATTGTCGAGTTTTGGGGAAGCGTGGGGTATGTGAGCTTGCTCACTTTTTCTTTCATTTTGTCACTAAATGTTTTCAAGTATTAAACTAATAAATATATATAACAAATGTATGTTACAGAAGCCACTGTGAGAATAATATGGTTATTCCTCTAAATATTGTGGCCAAGGGACATAAGTATCTAAATATCCAGATACGTTTTTGACCTTGAAGAAGGGTACAGAATAAATTTGAAGTTTAATAATCATCATTTTCACGCTGGCTCTCTTTTTACGATTATTCAACTAAATACATGTAACATTTTCTTTATTCAAAATCTGTTGATGAAATTGGTTATTGCCATTGTTATCCCTTGTACCATGTGCCAGTACAATGGAAGAATGGGGTGGCAAATCAATCTGTTTCCATCCAATCATATATTCGCCATCGAGCGATATAAATGTCAATAAAATAATTAATTCTACTTATTTTGACTGAAAATTAACTTTAAAAAACATAAATTGTGATAGACTATTTCAAAATACAAAAATTAAATCAGATACTTTCATCACCCACCTTTCACTTTCATTGATGCATAGAAAAGGGGAGATAACCCGGAAACATAGTGACTAAGTACCGACACTGTATGGGTGGATAACAAAATTCCGACTTTACTCAATCATCAGTTTCTCGCAAAATAAGAGGCGAATGATGACATTAATAATAGGGTAGAGCTTTGATAACGACGCATATTGTGAGACGAGCTCAAATATGCGGTATTATGAAAAATGTTGAAAAAATTAATTCCTAGCGTGATTTCCAATTACTTTAGAAACATTAATTAGTTCTAAGGTATAAAATTTTTTAGATATTTTCGTTTTTTATTCCAAATATTTAGAATCTGTAGGTCTGATTACGGCAATGTTTCGTGATCGGAAAATTATTTTTCAAAACCGCCATCCTTTACAAAACATATGAAAGCATATTTGCATAAATCAATGTTATGTTAAAAACGAAGAATAACAAAGTTATGTAATATTAAATTTGTGAATCAAATGAGTTAATACATGTGATGAAATGACAAATCAAATTGTATTGTGATGGCGAGTTTCTTCGTCTTCGCCGCGTCTCCCTCGCTATCGTCGCTGCTATTTTTCCAATGTTAACTGATTTTTCAGATTATTTCTTGCTGACAATTCTAATATATAAGGTTGGATATTAAAATTCATATCGATAAAATCAGTGATTTGGTCGTCCATAACGCAGAAAATTATGGTTGTATCGCGTATGTTTTAGTAAGATTACGTGAGGAGCTGGTCAGCCATTGTTGCCTTTGACGTCACAGGGTCACGTGATCGCTATCTAATTAACTTAGATTTTTAATTCAGAGGTTTTCATTTGAGTCAATAATTGGTTAATTACCGCGGTTTATCCGCAGTAAAAACACAAACTTTATAAACTGTGGTCATAAGGAACGTTTTACGCTTTTAACTTCAAATAATTTAGAAACATGCGATAAGTCCTTTAACGTTGGCCATAACTAAGGGTGCAACGATAAACCGTTTGACGGTATATCACGGTATATTTTTCCACGGTTCAATTCACGATACACGAAACTGATATCGCTGTTCAGTTCAATCGGTCCAGAATTATCTGAATCGTCCGTTTTGTTTCCTTTTTTACAATTTCAAAATGGCTTCCGCGCAAAACTTGAGGACACCGATAACGCATTAACGGACTGCAGTTAAACTCATCTCCAGCATCTTACAGACCTAAGTTTTAACACGGAGAAGGACTTACTGTGATTGTAAGTTATAGATGTTAAGACAAATAAAATCTTTTAGATCTAAACATATTCTTTGGTAATACATGATATTTCATCACGTGTGTATTTCGATGAAAATTCACTGTCTTGTTGACTAAAACGTGTTAACACGAGAAATATGACAAGTGGTTTTCTACGTAAATAAAATGAATAAAAGAATGAATGTCTTCCTTTTTCATTCCAATTTAAAAGGAAGATTATTAGGAAAGGTCCCCGTAGTTTCCTGTAAATGTTCATCATTGGTTTAGAAAATTGTCAAAACTCAAAGATCTTTGACTACCTAACAATCCAATTCAAGTTAACAAAATTTTATTTTAATTATTATTAAAAAATATGAACATTTTATATAACCCTGTCAAGTTTTTAAAAAAATATGATACAAACTTGAAGGACTTTTTTAACCTTGTCATGTACCGTGATACGTATCATATCGTGGACTGAATACCATGATACGTATCATGAGGTGAGTGTATCGTTGCACCCCTAGCCATAACTTTTGAACAATTGGTGCTAGGGCTTTCATACTTCACATGTGTAATCCTTGTGACAAGACCTTCCTTAGAATACCAACAACTTCGACCTTTTGACCTTGGAGTTTGACCTACTTCTGAAAAACTTTAACCTTGGCCATTACTTTTGAACGGTTTGTGCTAGGGCTTTCATACTTCACATGTGTAATCCTTGTGACAAGATCTTTCTTTGGATACCAACGACTTTGACCCTTTGACCTTGACCTTGGAGTTTGACCTACTTTTGGAAAACTTGAACCTTGGCCATAACGTTTGAACAGTTGGTGCTAGGGCTTTCTATTTCACATGCGTAATCCTTGTGACAAAACTTTCCTTTGGATACCAACAACTTTGACCCTTTGACCTTGTTCTTATAGTTTGACCTACTTTTGAATACTTTGACCTTGGCCATAACTTTTGAACGGATGGTTCTAGGGCTTTCATACTTCACATGTGTAATCCCTCTGCCTAGACCTTCCTTTGAGTACCAACAACTTTGACCCTTTGACCTTGACCTTGGAGTTTGACCTACTTTTGGAGAACATTAACCTTGGCCATAATGTTTGAACGATTGGTGCTATGGCTTTCATACTTCCCCTGTGTATTTCTTGGGAGAAGACCATCTTTTGGTTACCAACAACTTTGACCTTGTCCTTGGAGTTTGACCTACTTTTGGAAAACTTTAACCTTGGCCATTACTTTTGAACAATTGGTGCTAGGGCTTTCATACTTCACATGTGTAATACTTGTGACAAGACCTTCCTTTGGATTCCAACAACTTTCAATTGACCCTTTGACCTTGGAGTTTGACTTACTTTTGGAAAACTTGAACCTTGGCCATAACTTTTGAATGATTGGTGCTAGGGCTTTCATACTTCACATTTGTAATCCTTGTGACAAGACCTTCCTTTGAATACCAACAACTTTGACCCTTTGACCTTGGAGTTTGACCTACTTTGGAAAACTATAACCTTGGCCATAACGTTTGAATGATTGGTGCTTCGGCTTTCATACTTCACCTGTGTATTTCCTGGGAGAAGGCCTTTCCTTGGGCACCATTAATTTTGACCATTTGATCTATTCAATGGTTGCTTCTAGAGCTTTCTTATATTACAGGTTTATTCCTCGAGACCTTACTTTAGGTACTAACATATTTGATTTGCATTTGAGAAAGTTTAACCTTTGCTATAAGTTGCCATACTGGGGTATCAGTGTTTCACAAACACATCTTGTTTTTTTAGAAATAACGCCAATATTTAATTTAAAATCATTAAAAAAAATAAGTAATGTACACTGAAGATAAAAAAAAATCATTGAAATATGTAAATACTTGTATTTCATGTATAATCTTAGAATACAAAAATGATATTAATATATCCAGACTTTACTCAACGATAATTGTCAGACACGTTTATAAAATACTACATGTTGCCATTCAAAATAATGCCATTTTTTTATGACTCGCCTGTAAGTCGGACATAGAGTATTGGACTAAAACTTAACTCCCAAAAAACGACTTATAGGTGAGTATATACGGTACTCTAATCACTCATGAGCTGGCTCATCAGGTAGATATTGCTACTGTAATCACTCATGAACTGGCTCATCAGGTAAATATTGCTACTGTAATCACTCATAAACTGGCTCATCAGGTAAATATAGCAACTGTAGTCAAGAACAACTGGCTCATCAGGTAAATATAGCTACTGTAATCACTAATGAACTGGCTCATCAGGTAAATACAGCAACTGTAATCTCTCATTCATGAACTGGCTCATCAGGTAAATATAGCTACTGTAATCACTCATGAACTGGCTCATCAGGTAAATATAGCAACTGTTATCATGAACAACTGGATCATCAGGTAAATACAGCTACTGTAATCTCTCGTGATCTTTCTCATCAGGTAAATATAGCTACTGTAATCACTCATGAACTCGCTCATCAGATAAATATAGCCACTCATGAACTCGCTCATCAGGTAAAAATAGCCACTCATGAACTCGCTAATCAGGTAAAAATAGCCACTCATGAACTGGCTCTTCAGGTAAATATATATCAAAAACCTATGTCACACATCACCCGTCTTGTAAATAAGTCTCACCATGAAAACCTCCCAAAAAATCTCTTTAACAAGAATGAAATATGAAGATAACGAACAGAATTCAATCCCGAAAGTCCAATGAAATGATACAGATTTGGAGCAGAGCAAACACGGACATCAAAATGTAGAGGTGGGATCAGGTGCCATGGAGGAGTGAGCATCCCCTGCCGACCAGTCACACCTGCCGTGTGCTCCTTGTCATGATCGGGAAACAAAACCCAGAGAAATCCATAGACAGTTCAGTGTATAAATTTTGGCCTAACAATTAGTATGAAAAATGTCGGTCAGGATTTGACTTAATGATAAGTTGTATGTGCTGACAAGAAACAAGGTTATACTTTCTGTATTCTCAAGCAAACTTATTCAGTATGTAAATGGATCACTATTCCTTCAAACAAGCCCCTGATATAGTACCATTATTTTTGTTTTACAGTGGTTTGGTAACTTGGTTACTATGAAGTGGTGGGATGACCTCTGGCTCAATGAAGGGTTCGCGACATTTGTGGAGTACATGGGAGCAGATCATCTCTTCCCAGATTGGAAAATGGTTTGTTATCTTTGAAAAGAAAAATCTAAGACTTGTATTTGATTATGACTATGATGCAATATATGAACTGAACAGGTTCACCTGAAATACAATTGAAAGGTAAAGAAATTAGTTTAAACCCAAATCTCTGGATTTTTTGAGTTGTACATAGCATATTTTCTTGTGATTGCATATTTAAATGGTCTATTTTTGAGTTGTACATAGCATATTTTCTTTTGAAAGCAGATTAAATGGTCTATGTTATATTTATTTGAGAGGAAATACAGTGTAGCTGTATATAAAATTAGCACAGTAATTCACATTCTTTCTTTTTGCAGTGGGATCAGTTTATTCTTGGTGAGCTGTATTCTACATTCAGCATTGATGCCTTTGTAACATCTCATCCAATTTATGTGCCAATAAAAACAGTAGATGAAATGAATGCTGTGTTTGATACAATATCTTACTCAAAGGTTTGCTATCTTATTGAAAGGTTTGCACCCAATTAACTAACACACATGTGGGGGTTAATGTATATGCTTTGTTTTTAGTCAACATATTTAACAGTTTAACCACTGAAACAGGGAATTAAAATAATTTGCCACTTGGTTCAAATTTAGCAATTTTTTATTTATTTATCTTGATGTATATGCAGAATTTAAAAAAAATGTGTGGTCCATCAAAACTTTACATTCATTAGATGGAGTAACCTCCTTGCAATCCATGATATAGACATCTTGATTTTTTAAAGAAATATAAAATTTCTTCTTGTGTATTTCTCTTAAATTTATTTACAGGAATCTTTGGTTTGAAATAAATTCACAAAGGTTTTTTTTTTTTGTTTTTTAAGGGTGGAAGCATCATCCGAATGATGAGATTTTTCTTGGGAGAGGAGAACTTCAGAAAGGGACTTCATGTAAGTACTGTGCTGAGGGGTTTGTTCTTAAGACCTTGCTTTTAGTTAAAACTGGCTGTATATTAAGATTTTCATTCATTACTCTTACATTGTTACTCAATATTTACATTTCCAAATATTTTTATGCCTCCGCCATAAAAGGGCCAGAGGCATATTCTGTCATTCCATCATCATTGACTTTCCGTTCATTATCTTGGCAACAGTTGCACCAGTCAACTCAAATTTGACATATGGATACGTCATAGGAATACGCAAATCAAGTTTAAATTTGGTCATGGTCCAATGATTTTTGACAGAGTTATCCCTCTTGAACTTAGAAAAAATAAGAAATGTTCAGTTTCCGCTCTCTTACTTTAATGTATGTATAAGGTTGGAATTGCATATGCAGGTATAATAATTTGTCTCAATGCGCATCTGGTACCTCAAAATTGGTACTGTGTAAGATTTACAATATGCAGGTGTTTTAACAGAAAATACAGGTCAAGTGTGAATTTAATCGTGGTTTGATGATTTTTGACAGGGTTATCCCTCTTGAACTTATAAAAAAAAAATCTTTTGTGCAAACAAATTTAAAACGAAATATGGCATTCGAAATTTTGGCTGCCTGCGGGGCAGTTGTGAAGCAAATGTGCTTCATGAAATATTCTGGTGTGAAGCATCGTAGTATATGTCTATATGAATTCTCAAATATTAAATTCATTTCTTTGTTACACTTACATTTCAAGTACTTGCGATAGAACCCAAGTTTGTTATTTTCAGAAAAATTAAACTAAGTAGCTAAAAATATTTTTCAATCAAAATCATTATATAAATGTTATTTTCAGGAAGATCAATCACAGGTCTTAAGGTTCTTTGACTCTTTGACAAGAGAGATAACTCTTACTGACATAAATGACTATTATTTTTTTTATAAAATTGTCAAGTTAAAAAGCCATGTCTGTAAAATTTTGTACTATTAAGTATGCTGAAATTGTCTGCATTTTATTTAAAAAATAATTTGATTTCTTTTGGAAAATGATTAGCATTGAAGGCAAAATCTTATACGAATGAACAGAGGGATGCAATGAACCTCAACTTGTTTCATTTTAATTGACGATTTGTTCTTTCAGCTTTATTTGGAAAGTAGGAAATATGGAAATGCCTTCCATGATGACCTCTGGGATGCCATGGACAGTGTGAGTTTTTTTTTACTCAAATTGAATGTCAAGGTCATTTAGCTGCATATAAAAAAAAAAAAAGATTATGGCTGCTGCTATATGACTCACTGTTGGTGAATACAATTTTTTTTTTCTTGAATTGGCAAATTAAATATGTTTAATCTTCTAGTAATCTAAACCTTATTTAGCTTTTTTAAGAGAGACAGTAATAGTTTTTCTTACTTTGTTTTTTTTGATATATATTTTATGTTGACTTGTGCATTTATTTGTGTTAAAGCTTGGAGATTATTTTCTGTAAATTACAGATTGTACAGCAGAAAAATTTACAATATCCAACATCAATTCGAGCAATAATGCACACCTGGATAAAACAAATGAACTATCCTGTTGTCTCAGTAGCCGTTCCACGTGATGGAGTTGTCAAGGCAACACAGAATCGGTTCCTAAGAAACCCTGATGCTAAAGATCCACTTGTATACATTTCTCCTTTTGAGTATGACACTTTTTTTTCATCCGTAAAGAAAATATTTAGAAATTGTCAAAGAGGATTGTTTTTCATTTCATTTCATTGATAAATTTGTGAATGTATTACATGGAGTGTTGTGGCTAATTTAAGCTATAAATGGTGGGTGCCACTAACCTACACTACAAAGACAGAGAAGAACTTTAATAAGAACAGCAATGATGTGAAGTGGTTCAATACAACAAGTCGAGGTATATAGCAGTTAAAGATAAACAGTCAAGCCTTGTTAATCCCAATGCTTTTGTTCCCCAGTAAATCGTCCAGATTAATGAAGGTCTGAATTTATTTACAGGGATAGACATTAACTTTCAGATTCACTTGCCCTTCTGGCAAGTGATCTCAAACTTTGACTTGTCCGAATGCAAAACTTGGTTGCCAAAAATTAGGAAAGACCTTAAAAAGAAAATTATTAATTACTGTAAACGTTATGATAAGAAAAAAATGTGACCAAATACACTACTGTCAATTTGGCAAGATGAGCTACCTGAAAAAATGTCGATGCATGCTGCATTTGTACATAAATGAATACCACTGTGCTGGTAAAATTAAATTGTTAATGCACAGTGCCATGCAACAATAACCCTCCGTTTCCTTTTAATAAAATTCATAATTTTAAAAATTATTTTTGGTAGGATATTTTTGTGATTGTGCCTTGAGAGATAACTGTGAAGCAACGCTTAAGGAAGATAGTTGCTACAAAACATATATCCTTATCTTGATCAGGATACATCGTGTTACACTGTACTTATTTCCTATGCTTGAATAAATAATTTAATTTCCTAATAAGAAGTTAACAAAATTTTGTTAGACGTAGACAGTAGAGCGTATTTACTGCGAAAGAAAAAATAATGAACCCGATTTTTAAATGAGTGGTATAATCTAGAACGCTACCAAGGAATTCCGAATGCAAAAACATTGTCAGTCAGGTGCGTGGTGGAAATCAAGTGTTCAATTTATTGTTTTATTTATAAATTAATGTAAACTAAATAAATATGTACATTTGTATGAGAAAAATTCACTTGCCCGATCGGACAAGTACATCGACAATTTCACTTGCCCGAACTGAGAATTTACTTGTCCCAGGCAATCGGACAACCGTTAATGTCGATCCCTGATTTACTAAAATGTTACTTTTATAATTGATAGACATAAATGTAAATTAAATGAATTTCATCTAGATTGCTGAAACATTCATTTTGTAATTGGAAGATATAAATATAAATTCTGTTCCCCACAAATTTCAACCGGAATGTGAAACACCTGGACCATTGGCTGTAGGACTTACAAAGCTTGACTGTACATGTATTTCAAAAAAAAAGTACCACTAAATAGATTTTTAAGAAATCATTTTACAAAGAAAAAATTTTGTCAATATGTCAGAGCAAATTGACTTAATAGATATAGAAATGTGTATTGGAAAACTACTTTACACTGATGTAAGAATACAAGCTTAAATCTGATTCTGTGTAAATTCAGAATATTACAGAACTGGTTTGAAGTAAATTTCCATGTTATTTTGGTGTCAATTTGTGATTTTATTTCAGAATTTAATGATGCTTCTGTGAAGACTTCTGATTGGATAATAGCCAACACCGACCAGTACGGAGTCTACAGAGTCAATTATACTGAGGCAAACTGGAGAGGTCTCATAGCCCAGCTCAATCAGAACCACACTGTAAGTACAGACTCGCTACAGATAAAACCTCCCGATTAATACTCTAGTCACAGGTAATATATATAGCATAATGAAAGTCAGCCTATGTGCTACATATGTGCTACATTTTACAGTGTAATGAAAAAGTGAAAGTGTTCAGGTACAAATTGTAGATTTACCAGTGCAATGAAAGTCGAAGTGTATGTGGACAGACGCATGTATTACAAAATACAGTGTAATAAAAGTCATAGTGCTTAGGTTCATTTTACAATGTAAATGAGAATGAGTGATCGTACATGTATAACGGTTCATGTTTAACTTTTACAATGTAATGAAAGTAAAAGTAAGTGTGCAGGTCTTTCTTGTAGGCATAAAAATTAAAGTACCTGGCTTTTTTGGACAGCTTAAATGATTTAAAACATTTCTTTATTTGTAAATCTGGTTTTCAGATTTAAATTGACTAAAGTACTTAATTATATATATATGGAAACTTATTAGACTTTGTGTGAATATGAAGTGTTTAATAAAGGTTTTATCCATTTATCATACATTTTTTGAAACTAATGTCTTTGTTCGTTGAATGCAGGTTATATCCACCATCAATCGTGCACAGATAATTAACGATGCCTGGAGCTTTGCAAGGTAAGAATAGCTTTGTTGAATGGAAGGATGTATATTACTTTGCATGGCTGTCTGTCTACATGGTCTATAGCTGTTGCAAAATGTGTGAGCCATAATACCTCCCCTCCCCCAACTGTTCATTGCAATGAATGGGAACTTTAATTAGTAGCTTATTGCCCATGAACTAGGAGTGAAACGGTTCACCGCGGTATCGATTCACCACAGTATTTTTTCTCGGTTTGATACAAGGTGCAAAATCTCTAGTTTTCGGTTCGGTTCATTTTTCGGTCGGGATCGTTATTCAGTCGGGTTTGGCATAAGGTAAAACACGTTACTCAGTATAAATAAGTACAGAAAACGTAAATTTTTGATGACTGAATAGCTTGTAAAATAATTTTTGACAGTCAAATAATTTTAATCAATTTCTTCTAGTCAATTTGCAAATAAAATTTGTAAAATATGTGACTAAATTAAGAAAAAGAAAGCATAAAACAACGTTGAATTTGTTTCCTTCTATCAAAATGTATCGTATCGAAAATAACCGAACCGAGACAAAATTATACAATACGTATCGAACCGTGAAGGAGGTGTATCGTTTCACCCCTACCATGAACTTAAGGTGTATCTAGATCTTGACGCAAGGTCAAATCTCAAAGGTCAAGGTCATTGAGCATTGAATAATGATATGACACCAGGGCTATTTCTCCCATATCTGTGATTTAAATACAGATAAGTTTAAACTTTACATTGTTTTCCATGGCCCAAAGTTTGCTAGGATATTGATAAAATATATCCAAGGTCAAGGTCACTATGTGGTTTGATAGAACGTCCTTAATTTTCTTTTTTGAGTGAACTCATTTGCACTGAACATTTACTCCTGGCCATGCCATAATCACATGTAGAATGCTTTAATTGATGAAAAAATATGTAATGTTCATTTCACGTGTAATTGATTTGTAAAGACAGAACTAAAGTCCAAATTTTTTAAATGTTTTCATTGAATACTAGTTAACATTTAGATATTTGAAGTAAAACAGTAACATTTTGTAATTATTTTTCTTCCAGATCTAACCAGTTAGATATGAGTGTGGCTCTAGAGACGGTAGACTACCTGTCAAAGGAGAGGGACTACATTCCACGCAAGGCGGGCGAGGGCCAGCTAGCCTACATAGATACCATGCTGTCACTGACCAAGTACTACGGAGATTTCTCGGTAAGCTTTAAGTCTTTGACACCTTTTGGTCCCGCCCCTCGGCATCAAGCAAGCCATGGCCAGCTAGCCTACATAGACTTCATGCTACAGTGGCTGTAACGTTATTGTTGACAAACCAGTTGTGTGTGATCGTTTGTGTAACGTAAGAATTGGGTTCAATCATTTGCAATTTTAATCATACGTGATCGTGCAGCAAGAAACATACAAATTTTGTCTTGTCAGTTTTTATCAGAATGTAAATTGTTAAACAAATCTTTTGCTTTTCTTTTTTTTTTTCCCATTTTTTAAGAAAATTAAAAAAATCAATCTTTTAATTATTTTTTTGATTAATTAAAAAAAACAGTCTTTTAATATTTTTTTTAAAGTTTCTATCCAAGCATAAGCTGGATAGAAACGTTCATTAATTAAAGAAAAATAATTAAATAATTAAACAAATAAATAAAACAGCAATTTTGGATCATATGACAGACTTTATGACTTGCCTCATAAATATTATAATTGTTTATGGCACTAGATATTTTTACCCACCTTTTTTATCTTTCAAGACGTTAAATTATTAAATTATTACAAGAGTGTTTAAGATGTTAGAATGATGTTAATTATGTTCACTGCTAATCCTGGTCTATGTATTTTTATATCATTACATCATAAAGGTAAAATGTTTACAATAAATTTGTGAAAGAAAATTCCTTATTCTTTTATAAAAAATAAGTCAGTGAATATACATGACAAGATAGCCCATTATCCTGGATAGTTACCTTTTCTTTTTATTAAATTCTCCCAATGAAACAAGTGTTTAAGAAATAGCTGATTTTACAGAAAAACAAATATAAAGAAGGATACAGTCAAACCTCATTGATGTATCTTACGGAGATAAAGAATGCATGTATATTTTCTGTGCATGCATACATTTATTAGACAGATAATTCTGTTATAAAAACTGTTTAAAGAGGAAATTCAATGAAGGAGATGGGAGACATATGTGTATTTTTGTTACATTCATTTACTAGGAGCAGAGTATTCTACATGTAATACAGACTTACAAAAATGTTGCATTGTCTTGGATAAGTATAATATAAATTTACTGTATATTATTTTGTCTAACAACTTCAAATTAATTTAACAGATGATGTTATATACTAAACAAAATTATTGTTTTATTGACATGTAGAAAAAGATGCAGCATTTAGTAAGAGACATTTACAATGAGATTGGACTTAACAATACAGGGGCCACACACTTAGAATCGTAAGTTCTAAAGATTAGTTATGTAAGTTCTTGGTTAGTTAGTGGAAAGATTAACAGGTAATATATAATTTGTAGTGAGCTTTTGCAAGAAAAAAAACATTTTCTAATGCAGTACATGTGTTTATTTTTCTGATACGTGTACCAAAAAAAAAAAAACCCAATGATTTGAATGTGAAGTTTTCATTTTTTTTATAAACTTAAGATCTGACTGCAAAGAAAACTGAAGATAAGAAGAAATATTTCTCAAAAATGAGAGAAAAGCTAGCTCAATGTATCATTAACCTGACACATGTTGGATGATTTATGTCTGTTATACAGGTATATGAGGTCCAGTGTGGCACTCACAGCCTGTTCTTACGACATTCCTGAGTGTTTGACTGCTGCCATACAACAGTACAAGCATTGGATGGACAATCCAAATAATAATCAGTAAATTTTATTGATTTTTATTGATTTATAAACCTTTTAAATCATTTTAATTTTTCAAAATACTTTTAAAAAAATGCATATAGCTGTCCTGCTTTATAATGATTATTCGTTGAAACTGTCAAAAATGAAATTAATTGTATTAATTAAAATTTGATAATGGTTTAGGAATGAAACAAAGGGATTTTGGTGTGTCGCTGGGTCTTTTTTATCAGTAAGAGGCATGATGGAAACAACTTATTTTTGAAAAGATTTATTTAAACTGGCCTTGGAATGAAAATCCCACACTTAACTTACAGCAAAAGATTATTCTAAAAAAAAAAAAAGTCAAGTATTACACGCCTGTCATTTTAACGTGGAAATTTAAAATAAGTATTTGATTTTGAGTTATCAAAGATGGTGAGTTTTATTTTACATGTATGTGTATGCGTCTTTTTTTTTGGTATCATTTTTCTGTATTTCTTCATTCTACAGAATTGATCCTGGTCTAAAATACACAGTATACTGTACAGCCATTAAACAGGGCGGACAGATGGAGTGGGACTTTGCTTACAGTCAGTACAAAACCTCCAAAGTAGCCTCCGAGAGAGGCAAGATCCTAGCTGCCCTGTCTTGTACCAAGGTTCCATGGCTTCTTCAAAGGTATGTACCATAAAATGTGGCTAGGCCATCTTTAAAATAATGTTTGTTTGTCCTCTCCCGACTCGAGTTAAAAAAAAATTGGGTCGGTAAGTCGATGACAAAATTTTTCTCTCAAAAAATCTCAACATTCTTGTTGACAGGATAAGAAATTTCAGGGAAAAAAGTAAAAAAATTAAATTGTTTCCTAGTGGTTAAAAAAGTTTTGAGTCAGGCCATTTTTTTAGCCAGTCGGTTGAGAGAGGGCAAACAATTTTTTTTTTTAAAGATGACCTTATCTCAAAGATTTAGGTTTATGAGAAGTCTGACAGTTTTATTTAGTGAAACTGATTTCTTAAAACGGTAAGAAATCACAGACTGATTTTGATATTTTCTTTTTTTTTTTAGGTCACCTGAGTTTACTCAGGTGACCTATTGCTATCTGTTTTCGTCCGTCGGCGTGCGTCGTCCGTCGTCCGTCGTGCGTTAACATTTGAACATTTTCAGCTTCTTCTCTGGAACCACTGAACCAATTTCAACCAAATTTGGCACATAGCATCTATATGTGAAGGGGAGTATAAATTGTGAAATTCATGACCCCTACCCCCCTGGGGCCTGAGGGGTGGGGCTAAAACCATCAGAATTAATGCAATCTTTAAAAATCTTCTTCTTTACTCCTGGGCATCAAGCAGGCAGACTGTTGGCATGAATGTAATAAGCATTGAGCCCTCTACCTAAATTGTGAAATTTATGGCCCCAGGGTCAGGGGTTCTGGTGCTAGGGTGGGGCTCTGTTGAATATGTAGTGAAAAGCATTATTCTTAAAAAATCTTCTCCTCTGCTCTTGGGTATTTAGGAAACAAACAATATGCATAGTTATGATGAGGAAAGGTGTCTCTTCTAAAATTGTGAATTTCATGGCCCCTGGGTCAGGGGTTCTGGTGTTAGGGCGGGTATCTAATGATTATATAGTGAAAATGCATTTATTATTCAAAAATCTTCTCCTCTGCTCCTGGGTACTAAGCCGATGAACTAAGTACATAGTTATGATGAGAAAGAGTGCCTCTTCCAAAATTGTGAATTTCATGGCCCAAGGGTCAGGGGTTCTGGTGTTAGGGTGGGGCTCTGTTGAATATATAGTGATAATGCATTATTTCTTTAAAAAGCTTCTTCTGTGCTCTTGGATATGATGAAAACAAAATAAATACATAGTTATGATGATGAAAGGTGCCTCTTCCAAAATTGTGAATTTCATGGCCCCAGGGTCAGGGGTTCTGGTGTTAGGGCAGCATTCTGTTGAATATACATGTATAGTGAAAATGCATTATTTCTGTTAAAAATCTTCTCTGATCCAGGGCAAACAAACTGAAGGCATAGTTATGATGAATAAGGGTGCCTATTCCTATGTTGTGAATTTCATGGCCCCCTGGTCAGGGGTTCTGGTTTTAGGGCAGGGCTCTAATGATTACATAGTAAAAATGCAATAATTCTTTGACAATCTTCTCCTTTTCTCCTGGGTAATAAAGCCGATGAACTAAGAGTATAGTTATGATATGAAAGGGTGCCTGTTCCAATATTGTGAAATTCATGGCCCCTAGGTCAGGGGTTCTGGGGTTAGGGTGGGGCTCTGTTGAATATATAGTGATAATGCATTATTTCTTTAAAAATCTTTTTCTTTGATCCTGGGTATTTAACAAACAAACTGATGCATAGTTATGATGAGTAAAGGTGCCTCTTCCAAAATTATGAATTTCATGGCCCCTGGGTCAGGGGTTCTGGTGTTAGGGTGGGGCTCTAATGATTACATAGTAAAAATGCAATAATTCTTTGAAAATCTTCTTCTTTTCTCCTGGGTATTAAGCTGATGAACTAAGAGTATTGTTATGATATGTAAGGATGCCTCTTCCAAAATTGTGAATTTTATGGCCCCTGCATCATGGTTTTGGTGTTAGGGCAGGGCTCTAATGATTACATAGTGAAAATGCATTAATTCTTTGATAATCCTCTGCTCTCTTTCTGGGTATTAAGTAAGCTTACTCAATGTAAAATTATGATGAGCAAGTGTGCCTCTTTCGAAATTGTGAATTTCATGGCCTCTGGTTTAAAACATGAATCCATTGTGGCGAAGTTGTTGCATGATACTCAGGTGACCTATAAGGCCTGTGGGCCTCTTGTTTAATGAACCAGAGTTGAAATTGCCAAATGTCAACTGTAATTATTATGCAGTTCATTTTTGATATTTGGTTAAGATATGGAGAAGGCAATATCAAGATTTTCGAGCATATTTGTCTTGCTGTTCATCTCTTCTGTTCAAGTCTTCTTTTTATCTAAGGTTTTTGGAATATGCAGTAACTGATGGGGAAGTCAGAAAACAGGACGGTACAAGTGTCATCTCTTCTGTAGGGGCTACAATGATCGGTCGACCCATAGCATGGAATTTTATCAGGTCACGCTGGAACTACATCATGAATGAGTAAGTCATGTTTGAACAGTACTGCACTATTGATACAATCTGATAATTTTTGGTAAGATTTACTGTACATGTACATGTATATACATTGACATATACATGAATTAAGACTTGAAGAGTTTTTTTTAAGTGTGTAGACAGTGAAACTTGTTTTAATCCACTGGATCCAAAGAAATTGGCCAGATTAGACAATTTTTAAAATAATTTAATTTATTAAAATAGACTTAAAGTTTACATATTATTAGGCAAGATTTTGGAATAAACAGCATTCAGATTAGACGAGTTTCACTGCATATGTACGTGCATGTAGGACTCAGCCAAACAAATTTGGTGACAGATCAATTGTTCCTAAAATATATTTGCATATATATATATATATATATATATATATATATATATATATATATATATATATATATATTGTCAGAGAAAAATACTTGGCATACAAGTGTATTTTTCAATCTAATTTAATTACATAGTGGTTTGTTTCTGAAAACTGCAAAAACAAACAGTCGTGTGATTCATTGGATTTCAGGGGAGGGGGGTTATTAAGTTGCAAAATCTTTGCTTACAATTCTACAATATGTTTTCTAGGTATAGTGAAGGACAATGGAATGCAGGAGGATTTATTAAGAGTATATCTGGAGCATTTAACACAGAATATCAGCTACAGCAGGTATAGATCAATAATAACTGATGGTAAAATGTAGATGAAGGGGAAAAATTATGTTAATTTTCACTTAGATGATGCTTATTTTTTATGCTTTTGACTTGCTGGTATTTTAATCTCTTCTGTGATGTTAAATTCCTCTCACACTGATGCATTGAGAATATTGGAGACCTATGCAAAATTCATGTTCCTTTTTACCTCTTGGAAATAAACTGCCACATGTGCTGTCAAATGAAAAGCAAGAAAGATATTGTTGGGTTTTATAACCATTATGAAATGTGTTTGATTTTAAAAAAAAAAGAATTACTAGATTTGATGGTCAATTTAAAACAACATTAAAATTCCTGTCTCTTTTTTTCACTCTAGCTGATAGATTTTGGTAAGGCACATCCTGATCTTGGTCGTTCTGCCAGGGCCTATGACCAGGCTGTAGAAGCTGTTCAATCAAACGTTCAGTGGATGAAGAAAAATTTGAACATTGTCATTAAATGGCTTGAGAAAAAATAGAACCCACTGTGCTGAATAAGTTACTGATTTGAAGACTTTTATTACATTTATATTACCATTATTTTGTGTGAGTTCAATAATCAGATATTTTAAAGGACAGATTACCCAGGTACAAGTTAGTGAAGTTGTCATACACAGTAAAACACAGATATAGCGAACATGCTTATGATGAAGTTATGCTTACAGTGAAGTGATTTTCATTCCCCGTGGTTCTAGAACACATCTTAACTTGACAAACATAACCAGTTATATTTATAACGAATCAGAATTGTTAGTCCCTGGCACTTTGCCATAAGCGCGTGTTTTACTGTAGAATTTATTTTGTCCATTGAGGCAGACTTTCACGTGTGATTGCAGAAGTGCTATTCATGTCTATGCTTGCTTGAAGTAAGAATGATGCTACATGTACCCCATTTATTAATTGTTTGCGTGAAATGTAATACCTATTTCTAACCATATATTTACTGACTTAGAAATGGTATGAATTGTATAATAAACTTAAAATATTGGTTGTTTTAATTCATATTGATCTCTAAAACTTGCAGATACATGTAGTACCTGGAACTTCCTGCTCCCAGTTTCCTGACAGAACTTAATTTTTTCGTTTAAAACACTATGTGAATTAGAAAATTAAAAAAAAAAAACCTTGGAAGTTGACACATAAATATGGTTAAGATTAGGGTTTTTTTTTTTTTTACTCTTCTAAACTTCAAACTGAATTATCATATCAATGTGCATTGAGATATCATACATCGCTTATAAAGAGGGTTTAAAGAAATTGGTAATCCTGTAGACTCTACGGAGAGGACTTTCTCACGATGACGTCATATTTAAGACAGCCATGACGGACGATCAAGTGTGTATTGTCCAGATGGAGAGCCTTATTCTGATAACTGTATCGTTCAATGCAAAATATATTATGGTGGATGTAGCATGATGGTATTGAAAGACTTACATGTAGCTTATTACAGATCACTTTTGGTGATCGTTAAGGATCGAAACCTCACTCATGACGAAATCTTCTTGAACAACGTCATTCCTTTCTTTAGAAATTGGGTTTAAATCAAATACAGTCACTTGTTTAGGCGTGTAATTCTTGGTTATCTGCTATAGCAGAACCTCGACTAGCAATTTCTCTTGACTATTCGTGCATTGGACTGTTGAAACAATTGTCGAAGGTCTTAAAACTTAACAATGACACCGCCGGGTGACCATATGTCTTTCATTTAATTAATGATAAATTGGCATAAAGCATGGTCGTAGGAACCGGGGGGCACGGGAGGGGCGTGCCCCTCCCCTCCCCAATAATTTTACTGATATATAGATTACTATAGAAAACATAGCTACTATATGCTTGTGCCCCCTCAAAAAAACGTCGACCTTTTTTTTTAAATTTTTTTTTTGCTTGGCAACGAAATTTGGTAGTATAAAACTGAAAATGTATGGCTGCTCCCCCCCCCCCCCTCCCCCCAACTGAAATTACCTCCTACGGGCCTGTATAGCTAAAATTGTTGCTTTATTACAACGCACTTTGAAAAAAAATTTCAAATTTTCAAAGTGCGTTAATATCGACCATATTGACGCACTCTGAAAAAATGTGCACGGCTTGGTTATTACTCTTATAAATTTTAGGTATGATAAATGATTATTTGAACCTGGTTGGAAAAACTTTATTTGAACCTGGTTGGAAAATTTTTCTGTAATGACGTCACTTCAGGATCTGAGATATAGACGTTTCAAAGATTTTTAGGGGTTGTCTTGTTCCCAAAGGTTCTCGTTAATGTTATAAAAGGGAAATGAGTCTTTTAGAAATAATGAAGGGATGATTTTTAATATCACAAATTCGTTTCTCTTTTTTATTTCATCCATTCTGTAATAAATTCAGTAGATAAGTGACTTAAGGCATCGCATTTTTCTTAGAGAAATGGGAGCACTTATGATTTTCCATTGAAAATAATATTCCTGCATAATGTGATGTTTTTTTTAATGGTTATTTGATAAGTATATAGAAGTATGAAAAAAAAATTGTTTGTTCCAGCACAATATGATGGACTTTTTTTTAGTTATTTGATAAGTATTAAGAGGTATGAAAAAATGTGCATCTTATACAAGATTTTTTTTTGGGTTGATTTGTATTGAATTTGATTTTGTAAAGCTTCTTTGGCCAAAGTTTAGTCAGTTGGCTATTGTTGCTTAGATCAGCAATAAGGCCCCTAAACCCCTCTTCTTTAATTAAATAGAATGTGGATTTTTTTTTTCAGGAAAGTTTCCAATTTTTTCATCTATTTTACGTTAACTCAAATTTATTGAAAGTATATCAATGCCATACCAGTTATGTAAATACATAAGTTGGCTGAGGGACCTTCTACCTGTCTTCTCGTTCTCGATGAGGGTAGATAAATTCATTATTTTTTCTAAAGAAATATAACAAAATAATACTGTATTTTACTAAAATTTAAGTCCAGAAGTTTAGTTTTATACATATTTTTATACCCCCGCTCCGAAGGAGAGGGGGTATACTGTTTTACCCTTGTGTGTCTGTCTGTCTGTCTGTCCGTAACAAATTTTGGTCGTAGTTTTCTCAGCAACTATTCATCGTAGATGCTTGAAATTTTAGCACACTCTTTGTTTAGGCATGCCATATGGTGGGATTTATTTTTGTGAGAATCCGACGTCAACTTCCTGTTTATCCGTGCGTCTGTCCATACCATACATAACAAATTTTGGTCGCAGTTTTCTCAGCAATTACTCATCGCTGATGCTTGAAATTTTAGCACACTCTTTGTTTAGGCATGCCGTATGGTGGGATTCATTTTTGTGAGAATGTGAACTTCCTGTTTATCCGTGCGTCTGTCCGTACCATACATTACAAATTTTGGTTGCAAATTTCTCAGCAACTACTTTTTGCAGATGCTTGAAAGTTTAGCACACTCATTGTTTATTCATGTCATATGGTGGGATTCATTTTTGTTTGAATTTGATATCAACTTCTTTTTTATCCCTGTGTCTGTCAAAAAATGAACTTGTGTATTCACATCAGAGGGGGGGGGGGGTATTATTAGTGAGCATTGGCTCACAGACTTCTTGTTTCAAAGTGCGTTTAGTGTCTCCACGGTAAAAAAAAAAATGTTGATGTACACTCTTAATGCACTTTGAACATATTTTTCAAAGTGCGTTGATGTTGTCCCAAATTTAACGCACTTTGAAAATTTCTTTCAAAGTTCGTCGATTTTGTCCCAATTTTAACGCACTTTGATAAAAATTTTCAAAGTGCGTATTTTTTTCAAAGTGCGTTGCTTTTAAGGTCATTTTCAACGTACTTTATTCACATCACCAGAAATGACGTGTCCAGCGGGACAATCGTTAAAAGGAAGGACAAAGGCACTTAAGTGGATTTTGTTTTGGATGTTTAATATCTAAATAAGCACTGTAAGGTTTGTTAATAATTGAACAGTTTGGAAGCAATATCTTTAGAAAATGTAAGGTGTGGACTTGAGTCTTCAACTTGAAAATTTTGAAATTCTTTTATGATTAAGAATGCTGTTATTACATTTTGCATTATTACATTCTACGTTGATTCCTACTCAAAATGTAATATCACAAAATGGAATAATCTCAGTTACGGGGCCTCGGTCTATACGCTCCCATCCGAAGGACCGAAGTCCGCGTCACACAGTGGATTCGAACCTTGGACTCATTTCGGAGCGACTCTAGCGCTAACACACTGCGCCACACGAGGGATATTTCACAATTTAGTATCTGGCATAAGTGAAATCTCAAATATGAAATTCATCTATTTGTAAAATTCCTCAACATCTTTGCTACTTTAAGAAAAATGATGAATGTAATGGTGATTCTGAGTTTTTTTTTTCTTTCGATTTTTTTAAAAATTTATTTTGAATATGTCTTAAACATACGACATGCTATAGAAATCTTATATTGTAAAATCTAATATATGTACATTACTAAATACCGATTTTTATATATAGAAAATTAGCAACCAATTTTTTTTTTATGGAAAAAAGCTTCCAAGTTTGTTCATGTTAGCGAAGTTCACAGCAATTTTAAGATTTTCATTACGGCTTATACCGGTAAAAATAATTAAAAAACAAAATCAGTATTAAAAAAGTAATTCATTCTTGACATATTCTGTAAATTACATCGTAGTTATATATATAGATTTTTTTCACATTTTTTATTCCATGATTCTTGATACATTTAAATTTACGGATACCAAAAAAAAAAAAAAAAAAAAAAAAAAAAAATCGTCAGACTTTTATAAAAACAACAATAAACACATGTTTAATTAAACAATTCTCCTAGAAATTTAGCCTCATTTTACCCTTTTTAAATTTTTATAGTGAAAAATATATCAAATCAAATCAAATATACATATGATGTAATGTAAATTAATACCAATATAGACGGAGAAAAATGTTCAGACAAATTAAATGAATTGAAATTCATAAGGATAACGGCAAAAATGCGTCTAGTATATACAACATTAATGAGATTATTCAGTAAAAAGATTACATGCATATTGATACATTATATAAATTTTCAGATGATCTTAAGAAAAAAATACTGCACTGGTTAACACAAAGGTCAAACTTGAATCTAACGATTTGCATTGAAATTTACATCAAAATTTTACATCCTCAAAATAAACAGATGTGCATAATCAAATTAAGTAGTTTATGTAATTTATTTTGATATGTAAATTTATGTAAATCAAATTAAATACTTATGAAATTATCATTTGGACATTGTGTTACTTTCAAATTCTGTTCGGTATGCAATGTACAAGTTCAAATTCAAGTAGGCATGTAATATCATTGTTGAAAGGGGGAGGGAATAATTTACAAGTTACCCAAAATGTCTTTTGAGAAGGAAAAAAGGGCTAAATTGTCCAATCCGAAAATACTATTTCGTTTGTGTGTGTGTGGGGGGGGGGGGGGGGGGGTTCAACTTTTTCCACAAACGGATTTTAATACAAATTTCATTAATACAATTACCATGGGAGATTTGAATATACTGCAACAAACCGGTCAGAGGTACATATACAATAATAATAATAAAAAAAATGCCAGAAAATAAATAAAAATAAAACAAGAGGGGGGATATTTCAAAGAGAACAGACAGCATAACATACATGTATATAGTTTCTTCTTTTCTAATAGAATGCACCATTAAAACGTTGTTCATTTTTGTTGTAGGCAAAACACTAGCTGTGGCAAATCGTCGAGTTTTCCATAATTGTATGGGTTTACTTGTTAAAAACTAATATCCCAAGGATCAAGGCATTCAGCATCAACAAACACATACCATCACTTCGTATTTTTTGTATTATTTGAAAAAAAAATCCTGAATTCTGATTGCATTGCCTTGGTACCTTTGTAAATCGAGCATTCCAAACCAAAATATATCTAGACAGTCTTTTTTCACTTGGTTGCTTCCTCTGTAAAACTTATTTTCTTTTCTAACGCCTGAAAATAAGATTCCAGAAACTACCTGTCAGTAATGCACAATATAGGGAAATTAAATAATGTATACGTATTTCCAAAAAATGAGCTACATGTATGTTACAACGAACTTTGAAAACTTACGCACTTTGAAATTTTTTTTTCAAAAAATTCGTTGAAAAAAAAACTCTTTTCAACGTGCGTTAATATCGACCATATTAAAGCATTTTGAAAAAAATGTGCAAGGCTTGGTCAATATTCTTGCAAATTTTACGCATGATAAATAATTATTTGAACCTGATTGGAGAACTTTTCGGTGATGACGTCACTTCAGGATCTGAGATATAGACGTTTTAAAATTTTTAGGGGTTGTCTTGATCCCAAAGGTGCTAGTAAATGTTAAAAGAGGGAAATGGGTCTTTCAAAATTGACGGAGAAATGATTGTATAATAGCATAAGTTTTTTCTTTTTTTTAATTTCCATCCAGTCTTTCGGTAGATGTAGTGGTCAACAAGTGCACAATATGATGGTCTTTTTATAGTTACGGTATATGATAAGTATTGAGAAGTATGAAAAAATGTTTCGTCCGTATACAATATGATGACCCCTTTTTTACAGTTTTTGATTAGTATGAAGAGGTATGAAAAAATCAATTATGCATTTTGTAATTTTTCTTTTTTTTCTGATTTGTACTGTTTTTGATTTTATAAAGCTACATTGTCTAAAGTATAGTCAGATTACCTATATTGTTGCTTAGATCAGCGATGTGGCCCCTGAGCCTCTCTTCCTTAATATAAGTGGTGCGTTAATTTTTTTTCAAAGTGCGTTGATTTTATCACAATTTTAAAAGGGCCTGGACATAGTTGCATTGTTAACATTTTAAATTTCTATGCGTATTCAAAAAATAAAACTAGTTAAATGAATTGAACTTGTATGAATATTCTTAGAATTGAATGACAACGACAACAACATTCTTCTTTACATCACTGTTCAATCCATTTGTTTTTTTGTAAACAGGACACGAGCTCTGCTAGCTGTTGTTATTGTTTATGTTTCACCGAGTGTGTTCAAATTGTTAAACTCTGCACACATTACTGAGTACGGACTGATAATACTGGTGAGTTTGTTTCGCTTTCTCGCATTTCTACTCTGAATTTTCTGGAATATAGTTTTAATTTTTTTTCATCAATACACAACAAAATTTCTACTTTTCTTAGGTATAAAGGATAAAGTTGTAATTTGTGAAAGTGCGAGAATGTGTCAATCAAACGCGTCCCGAAATTCTTAGTTTCAATGATTTCCAGATAAAAGAAGTTTTAGAACACGCTTTTATTATATTTCCGTGTGAATTGCTATAGAAACATATAAGTCATGGTATTATACAGAAAATTTTAGAAAATGTTAACTTCAAATCTGTGTCCAGGCCCCTTTAACGCACTTTGAAAAAAAATCAAAGTGCGTTGCCACAGAGCTGGGTGAATTCAAAACAAATGACCAAACGCATATTTATCAACCCACACCAAAAATACAGGCAATGAAAATAAATTTCTGTGTCTCAGCATATGTCTTTAGATAGTGTCTAGATACCTGCCAAATATTTCGTTCTTATCTCAATTAACAAAAATATTATGCCCAAAGACGATGCTAAAATTGTCAGGAGTGCAACACCTTTTTGTGACATTTTGAAATTTCAATATTTTTTGGAGATCTGTGTAATAGATTATAATGCTTTATGTTGAAAATAAAGACTTTCCTGATAATATTCAAAGTATTGAGCTTTAAATATGGACTGTAGTAACTTTTGTTTAATCAAGTTGTGGTCATGGCTGATATTTAAAAAAAATGTTATACCATGTAGTAGTGCAACAGAAAAAATGTAGTGCTGGCTAAAAAAAAAATCAATTGTAAAATTCTGAAAGAAAATTAAGACAAAAAAGAATTTTCAAAGTGTAAAACAATAACTGATATACATTTTAAAACTTAAAAAATGTTATATAAATCACAAGCAGCATTAATGAGAGTCAAGTATATGTGCATACCCAATAATGTCAGGAGTGCAACATTTGATGTTTTGCTCCCAAGCATGTAAAACTATTATCATTATATGATTTTCTGATTTTTATTTTGGAAAATAAAGACACAAAGAACATTTTTACCAAATAGATTTATCAATTACAGGATCTGTCTGTGCTTCAGATCTATATTTCTATGGTCAGGAGTGCAACAGATTTTTTTTTTTAAGATTCAAGTTGTGTGACGAAAACACTTCTATTCATGGTTAGAAGTATTCATTAATTAATAATGATCTTTTTGTATAATTTGATACTAAATTATTAACAGTTTTAAAATCCTTCCTTTTTCAATTTTATCAATTCAGATGTGTTTTTATCTTTTTTGTGATTTTATTAATGAATGTTAAAAATAAACACACTAAAAAGTGTCATAAAATTCAAGTAATTTCTCCTCATATTCACTGAAACAACAGAACAAGTTCTTATGTAATTTTCGCTTCACAATTCTACTTTAAAGGCCCCAATGCTTTTGGTCAGGAGTGCAACAAATATGTTAGAATTATAAATCATCTAATAAGAATAAAAATAAAGAAAAAAATGATGAGTAGAATTTTGAATTTTTCTGGTGGGTTACTGTGTTTGTCCTCTAAAGGAAAATATGCTATAAAATACATTTTATATTCTAAATATACATTTAAACTAGTTTTTTTGGCATAAATAGGGAATAATTCCAGATAAAAAGCGAATTTTAAATACTTTCATCTGTTTTAATTATGAAGTATCGGACTATAAATATTGCACAATTTCATTACCTCTTGATGTTGCCAACACTTTATGAATTTTTGTGTTCTATGCTTTAATTTTAAATTTTACTGCAGTCAGGACTGCAACAAAACTGTTTTATAATCACCAATGCTTTTTAACTATCTTTACTAAAAAATAAGTTGAAAAAAATGTTTGATACTATTTGATGTTCAAAACACTATGTTTATCAACAAATTACAGAAATTTTACAGCCAATCCAGGGAATAGTTTTCATAATTTCACATATATTTTTTTTAAATATAATTTATATATATTACACTTTGCAAATAATCATGTTTTAAGGTCTTCAAAATATGAAAAACCTGCCTTAAACGATGAAAAATATCAAAACGACAAATTGATTTACAAAGTAAGAATGGGCTGTGTAATCATTTTTAAAACAATGTTAAATATAATACATATCAGAAGTCAGGGGTGCAACACATAATAGAACATAGGGTCACTTCAAAATCTAGTATTTTTTGTAGAGAACTCGTATATAAAAATTCTTTTTTTTTTGGCTTAGATTTGAAGAATTGACTTGAACGGACAAAAAAGTGAATTTTGGGCAATTTTATTGCTTCATATTTTTCATATTAAAACTTTTCAAACAAGAATTGAAAAAAAAAACAAAAAAAACCAATGTAAAATAACAACCAAAAAAGCCAATTTTATGTCAAATATACAAGAGAGAAGATACTCAGTCAAGGTCTAGATTTAATCATTTTTACCCCTTTTACCATTTTGAAGCATAAAAAACTATAATTTCTTGTGATTATGTATTTTAGGAAGTCTTTTAGGGTGTAATGATATTTTCTTTTTTCAAAAGAAATTTTGCTACTAAAAATTCTGAAACTTTTTAATCCAATTGTCTATTCTATTGCCACTTCAAGATTTTAAACTGGAAAGCATGTGCAATATGATGATATAAGTGAAAAAATGTTGTTGAAAACTAAGTAGTTGAATTTGTCCCCCCCCCCCCAAAAAAAAAAATTCAGTTTGGTGGTTTTTCTTCTTTAATTCACCCACATAATATGTCTATGAATTTAATTTAATTTTATTTAATTTCTAACATAGCAATCCAATCGTATTTTCATGATCGTTGATGTCATTGTTTGATAAATGTTTCGACTCATCTTTGAATTATATGTTAAAATAAATATGGGGATAAAGAGGTATAAATTTCGTGAATTCATTATGCCTATTTGGTAAAATTTGTCTGCTAAACACATGATAAAATGAAATTAATGTGTATTAACTTGATATATAAAGAGCATTCAAATTACATTAAATTCCAAGTATGTCCTACTTGTTAATACATATACATAACTAAAAAAACAAATTGGCAACGCATTTTGAAAAAAAAAAATTATACACTTTAATTTTTTTTCAAAGTACGTTAAAATTTGGGATAAAACGCACTTTGAAATTTTTTTTTCAAAGTGCGTTAAGAGTATACGTCAAAATTTTTGGGGGGCCATGGAGACACTTCACGCACTTTGAAAAAAATATGCATAAAGCAAATAAAAAATTCTGGACTAAGATTTTAGTAATATAGACAGTGTTATTTTGTTATATATCTTTCGAAAAAACTGATTAATCGATCTACCCTTATCTAGATCAAGAAGACAGGTAGAAGGTCCCTCAGTCAAACTCTTTATCTTTCATAGATAAATATATGTATTTATATTTATTTATAACTGGTGTGACATTCATATATTTTCTCTCAAAAAAATTGACTTAACGTAAAATAGATGAAAAAAAAAATGATATAAGCTTTCTTGAAAATAACGCACCCTATTATACAGATCTGTATTAATCATTAATCAGATCTGTATTAAAGAAGAGAGGCTCATGGGCCATATCGCTGTCCTAAGCAACAACCCAGCAGGCACGCAACGTTGTTTCAACGTTGAAAGTAGGTGGAATATAGGTTGCAACGTTGAGCAACTATAGTTCAACGTTGTTTCAACGTTGAGGTTTCAACGTTGAATCCTCAACCTTTTCACAACGTTGAACAACGTTGAAGATGCAACATATTTTCAACGTTGAATGTTAGATATTTCCTGTTATTTTAAGGTTGAAGCGAAGTTAAAAATAACTTTCAATGTTCGTTAATATTTTTACATTGAAACAACATCGAGGATGCAACATATTTTCAACGTTGAAAAAGTGAGGAAAATTTAATGTTTAAACAACGGGTTATGG